TATATGAGTTAAACTTACTGTAGTCAAATTTAAAAATGCAAAATTCCTACTATACTTCATGGATTCCGTTGATTCTAGGAAGAAGCTTATTCTGTTATCGAGCTGCCCAAACTCGTTAAAAACACTGCAAAACTGCTAACTGTTAAACGTTTGTGATGCTGTCTAACTGTAGCACTAAAGACATCATAAGTTTTACGAATAAGCAAAATTTATGCAAATACATACTCTTCGGCCAGCTTCGTTATTATGCAAGTTCATCAGTTTAGGCGCGGGGTCATACCACGCTTTCGCAAGTTCGTTAGAATCCACAAAGTCTTTGCTAAGTCTCTCTCCGTATGCAACGTCCTCAGAGCAGCCTCCCCAATCCCACTGATCCTGAAAATCAGATGTCCGATAGTGTTTACTGACATTTCAGGGGTATAATCACCTTCTTTTTTACTTTTCTTCGTTCTACGTTCTGATCGCAAGAACAAGATGGCATCTGACCCTGACTGCACGCCCTGGTTATGCTGTAGGCGACGCCTGCGGCACTAATCGCATGCACGTATGCTTTCTCGCGGCTATCTAAAACTTCAAGTGAGATACAGTAAAGAGGCTATTGCACTACTCAAACAGGCATTGAAACCATGAAATCTTATTCCAAAGAACAATTGCCTAATGGACGGTTTGTTAAACTTCATTTGTCATGTATAAGGTGAAATTTTTTAATAATAACGAAGAGCCTGTTGGAAATCAAAAATGCATAACTATTACTATTACACAACAGTGAAAAACAAAATCAAATTTTACCAACTCTTACTAGTGCCACTTCGTACTTTTGTCAGCTCATTTGTGAAATAAGTTGAAAGATTCTTGCAGTCGAAAATTTTTGGAATTGTTTTTTTATCTAGTTTATCATTTAGAAAAGCTCGAATAATAAATATTTGATTATTTATGTATCTCGGTTCTTGTCTAAATTAATTATTTTAAGGGGAGTTCATGACTTTCGTATGAAAACTATGTTGAATTTACGTAACAGTAAATCAGATTCGACGAGATGACCACTGAACGATCAACCGATCATACGCCATGCCTCTGATGTGGCT